CCTAAAATTTACAAAACTGTCGTAATTGTGATCCACAAAATTCTTAGCATGTAACGTTGAAGTGATGCGTTTCCCATTCTGTTTCGCTGACTGAATTTCGCTGTTCAGCTGATTATGGTCCAGAGATGGCGCCTTTGAGGCGAAAAGCATACAGCCAATCTGCTTTCTCTCCTTGTTATATGTAGCTCCTTGGTTCAGCCACAGACTAACGGATATCCGTTATCTGATATCCGGTATCCGTTCGTCTGTTGTTCAGCCATGAGTGAGGACAGACACAAATCGAACCGTGTACGAATGTACCTCAGTGGTGCAGAGAAGCGAAAACGCGCAAAAGATAAGAAGGATGGCGAAAAAGTCGAAGTAAATAAGTCGAAAAAGTTGTCTCACTTTTTTCCGCGTGTCAGTCATGTGGACGGCTCGTGTAGTCAACAGCCTAGCACATCGAAGGATGCGCAGTCAGATACTGGTGTGCTCATAACAACCGGAAGTGCAGACAAAGTGGGAGTAGCCAAAGAGCATGTAGATGCTGATATAACTGATGACCAAGATGATGGATTTCAGAGCGACATCGGACGATGGCCGGTCCGGTCATCACAACAGATGGTCGAATACTGGGTCAACAGAGGTTCCAGTTCGCTTAGGAACATGAGTGGGCCGTTCGTTGCGTCGGTTAGAAGTGCGACCGGGCCCCAGGGTGAAGGTCACAGCGGCACTGTCAACCGATTTTGCACAAAGAGTTTTTTCGAGAGAACACTTCCCAATGGGGAAATGGTCCCAAGAAGTTGGTTGTGCTACTCTCTTTCAACCTGCCACGTGTACTGTTTCGCTTGCAAGCTTTCAAATAGCACTGGTAACTTGGCAACAGTCGGGTACGGAGATTGGAAGCATGCCAAACGCGATCTAGAGCAACACGAGAGATCCACATCGCACTGCTGGAATGTGATTCAGCTGGCGAAACGAGCTTCTGCATCCTGTCGTATCGATGAAATTATGATCAGACATGCCAACGAAGTTGAATCGTACTGGTGCCAAGTTTTGAAACGATGTGTGAGCGTGATCAGCTTCCTGGCTGAGCGCGGTCTTGCATTTCGCGGAACCGATGAAATCGTGGGTTCGCATAACAATGGAAATTACCTTGGTCTTATGGAACTGTTGGCGCAATACGATTCTTTCTTAGCTCAGCACGTCCAACAGCATGCCAATAAAGGTACTGGACACACAAATTACTTGTCCTCAACCACATGCGAGGAGCTTATTGCGATCATGGGGACGCATGTTCTAGATAACATTGTAGGTCGAGTCAAGGAGGCAAAGTACTTTTCAGTCACGGTCGACTCGACTCCGGATGCCAGTCACGTTGACCAGCTAACATGTGTGCTACGCTACATGAAAAATGAGACACCAGTTGAGCGTTTCGTGCACTTCTTCAATAACGCTGGACACACTGGGCAAGATCAGGCGAATTCTCTGTTGAGATTCCTCGAGGCTAACGGCATCGATATTGCTAACTGTAGGGGGTCAGTCGTACGACAACGCTGCTAATATGAGTGAGAAATACCGCGGAATGCAAGCAATCATTTAGCAGATAAATCCTCTAGCAGTGTATGTTCCATGTACCGCACATTCACTAAACTTGGTGGGGGCAAGCCGCGGTTAGCAGTTGTCGCCCCGTGGTTTCATACTTCGGATTCGTGCAGGAGTTGTACAACTTCTTCACGAGCTCAACATCACGGTTCGCTATTTAGATGGATAGAATAAAACCGAAAGGATTACGCATCTCGAAGAGCTTGAGTGACACGCGTTGGTCAGCTCATGCAGACGCAACAAAAGCTCTGAGAGAGGGTTACACAGAAATTCTAGATGTCCTTGACGGAATCTCCGAAGACGAGAATCAAAAAGTGACACGAGAAATACGGCTTCTTCCCTCTATGGGGTAATGAGTAAAATAGAGACAGGCTTCTATACTGTGTTCTGGGACAGCATTCTTGACCGTTTCAACCGCACAAGTAAAAGCCTCCAAGGCAAGAACACCGATCTCAACCCTGCTGTAGCACTCCTGAAATTGCTTTCAACATTTGTGCATGGGTTACGTGATCGCTTCGAGGATTTTGTTGTGGAAGGAGCGATTCGCGCTGGCTGCAACGACTTTTCCCGCGAGTCGCGCCGAAGAAAACGCAATGTTCGTTTGGAATCCCTGGGGGATACCCATGCAGATGAAGCTGAATTGAGTCCAAGGGATTTTATTATTATTATTACGTGCTTGCGTGTGTTGTTGTGATCGCGGCCTCACACCTAGCTAATGCACCTATTGATAGCACGCCATGAAAGCTGATCTCTCTCCCTCTCTCTCTCTAATGGAAACGACGCTTTGTGCTCGCGTTTGAAAACCTTAGGGGAAAACGTAGAGTTTCAATACAACATGGTTTCAATGGTTAATAAGAATCGGAGCTTAGGCAATGCTTTCATGACACCTGATGTAGACAGTTTCCTTCAGGCTTCTGGCCAGTAGCTAAGAGCGTGTGCATCTGTTTTGTTCTGTTTTATCGGCGCTTTAAAAAAAAAACAGGTAGAATCACGAACATTGTGCGTTTATAAGAGTCTTCGCCGCGTCAGACTCTTAGATTACGCAGCATTTTACTAGAGAATATAGCGCGCCAGCTGAGCTCAATATAAGGGTAAAAAAAATACAAAAAGCAAAAGCGCGTGTCGGCCGAGGTTTTTTCCAGGTGGTGACTTGCGTCGTACAGGTGAATGGTTTCGTGTTGCTGTTATCTGCCACCATGCTCATCTGCTTCTCTGAGCGTGAAAGGCTAGGCTTTAACAGAACTCGTGTCTATCCGTCAACAGAAGGATCATGTGGCTGAGCGCTGCCTACAGGGTGCTGTCTACAGAGAGCCTAATATATAAGTAATATATATAAGAATAACAACTTCAGGCGATAACTGCAGAGGTGCGCGCGACGTTGTGCAGGTGTGTGCATTCAGGCGATAACTGCAGAGGTGCGCGCGACGTTGTGCAGGTGTATGCATACTCTAGCAATCAGTGTCCGGATATACCTGTCCTGTCACTTAGAGGGCATGCGCTCAGCAAATATAAGGTTATCACGTGACTAGCTCCGCAATGCTGCTATTGGTTCAATTGTAGTTTTTCCTACATTTGCGAAAATGAAGGCCGGAGTTTCAAAGTAGGATCGTGCCATGTTTTCTACCCCCTTTTTCTATTTTCCGGCTTTATTTTCCTCGTGTCTAGTGCAAGTTGCATCTGATTAGTTTCGTTAGTCACTCAACCTTCAACCTTCCGTAGAAACATTGGTCTCGTTGAATAATAATACTCTTTAACATTGCTATAGTTATGTAGAGCGATGGAACTAACGCGGAAGCGTAGGTGCGTGTATGGGCGTGCTTGTGTGCGTACGTGTGTGTGTTAGTATGTGCATGTGTGTGGGTGTGTGTGT